CAAGCTGTGGTACATACACACAATGGAATATTATGCTACCTTGAAAAAGAACAAGAAAGCTACATGCCACTACCTAACATGGATGAACTTTGAGGGCATTATGTTGAGTGAAATTAATCAGTCACAAAAGGAGAAATACTGCATAGGACCACTACTGTAAAAGACTAAGAAAAAGAACCCATACTAATCCACTAAAGTGGATTCTTAGCTGGTTGCTGGGACGTAGGGGTAGGGTTAGGGGAGGGAGGGGAAGGTGGACCACAGGGCAGGGAATAGACACAGGATAGTTTGGGGAGGGGGCAATATATCAGAAGGGATAAGGGAATGGAAGAACAAAGCAGATGGGAGAAAAATTAGGCAGGTTTGAATGGGCTAAATGGGACAGAGGTAAAAAATGATGTAGGCACAACTTAGAACAATAGGGCTCTGGGATACAGAGATTGAGACATGGTTGGAATGGGGAAAAGAGGGGAATAATGTTAAGATGCTTGGCTGTCTTTTGAATCTTGGTTTTATGTGCATTATATTATAAAATAGACACTGGAGGGGGAGAGAAAGGAATAGCCAGAAATATTACCATAGAAAGCTTGTAAGTCCATCTTTTGCCTATAACTGATTGGAATACCTAAAATGGGACTACAATGTGTCTAGTGAAGGAAGTTTCCTGAGGAGCCTCTGCATTACATAGGACTATAAGTGGAAGCCTAAACCACATCCAGATCTTCAGCAATGGGAAATTTTCCACTTGAAAGGACAAGTGGACCAGCCTGGAGCAGCTAGGAAAACAGAAGATACTTCTTGGGAGAAAGACCTACAGGACAAATACAAAACAATAAAGGCAGTCCAACTGTTTCTACAGAACAAGCAAGTTGCTTGCCCAGGAAACATCAAGGCTAGTGGTCGGGTCCTTTCAGTGCAAATCCTCTTCCAAGACTAAGACGCAATGGGAATACACGCTCTGATTGGTGACCACGCACGTCACCCATAGGGGGAGGTGAAGTGAGGGAAAGAGAGCAATGAGGCGGCGAGCTAAGCCCTATATCGTTCAATGGACTCCTGTGAACCTGGGTGAAGACCTGTTCGGCCAGCATTGTGGCAAGACCTGGGGACTCATGGGCTCAGAGTCAATGACACAGTCACGGAGGACTGGAATGGAGAGCGAAGTGTCCAGCTGATAAGAAGAAGACAGACAGATCCAAGAACACCCACACTTGCAGATAATACCCACTTGACCTTGCTTCAAGGACTGGATGATCAGAGCTCAACCCAAAGAAGAAAGAAGAGGAAAAAAGCATCATCTGCTACAATATGATAAACTTGACCTACACCTATGGAAGCAATAGCTCAAAAGAGGAAACAAATCCTTGCTGCAAGAACTATTTCCATCCCCTCCACACAAAGAGTAGACAGGGATGGGCAACTTGGACATTGGCTATCCAAAATGGGGTGAGGGGGATGGGTACAAAGGCAAGAAGTGACTGGCTTACAAGCTTTCAAGAGGGAACCTAGATCCAGAGGGCGTGGGGGAAGGTAGAGTCTCTAGTGAATAGTATCCAGCCTGTCCAGGAAGGGCTGATGAAATGAAATGCAGATGGGTCTCTTATGATGCAATAGTGAATAATTGTTATCAGGACTGATTGTGAGGGTTGGAAATGTAAAGGTGGACATTTTATAACAAGGAGGGGAGTGGTTAACTTTTCAGTCTAGGAGCTGAGTGCCCTGGGACCATCAATGGAGAAGAATGGAGAGCAGCACCCTACCCAGAGAAGAAGTGAGGCCTGAGATGGAGACAGAAAAGATAACGTGGAGAGATGGAGTGGCTGGGGACTTGAGATCCAGAGAGGGAAAGGGGCTGTGTGCTGATGACCGTGGGGGTTGGTGGGAAGGCTTTCAGGGTATACCCTTTGGGTGGGTGATGATGCATGGACTGGATGGTAACTATGGCAAAGAAACGATATATGATAGAATGAATGTAAAATTAATGTTCTTCCATGTAAACTATCACATAATTCACAATAAAACATTTATTAAAAAAAAGATGTATTGATCATTACTGGTGATTGGAATGCAAAGGTTGGAAACAAAGAGGAAGAATCAGTAGTTGGAAAGTATGGCCTTGGTGATAGAAATTATGCTGGAGAACACATGATAGATATCTGCAAAATCAATGATTTGTTCATTTCAAATACCTTCTTTAGACAGTATATCAAGAACCCTGGGGATTTGCATAAGTCAGAATCCACCTGAATCAACAAACATTATCCATTTGAAAATGTGCTCTGTGGTTGGTATTAAGATTTGGAGTAATTTTAAGATTGGTAAATAGTATTGAATAATTACATCAGTTAAACTCTTCATTATGAAATGATCCTCACCTGATTCATATAAGTACAAAATTGGATTTTTGCAAATAACATTCCATTATTGACTGGGGATAGTAAGTGAAATCCTGGGGATAGCATCATCAGGAAAAAACAAAATTCTATGAAACATCTCATACTTTCATAGATTCTTGTAGTATCACTGGATCTTCAAAGTAATAAAGCTAGGAGACAGAACAATTTCTACTATAACTTAAACAGCTGTGTATTTTTTTTTAAATCTTTCTTGTACTCATTTGAAAATGATAGTCTTTGTTTTGCATTTCAGTAGGATAATGGTTCCCACTTAAATTCCAGTATTTACCCATTTTACCCAGAAACCATATAGACTCATAAAGAGAGCAAATGACATCACACATATAATGTTAATGTCGTGTTAAGTGCTGTCGAGTTGATTCTGACTCATAGCAACCCTGTATATGATTTCCAAAGAGCAACTGGTGAGTTGGAGCCGCCAACTTTATGGTTCCGACTGACATTTTCATTCAGTTCTTTATCCCCAACACCATACCTAGAAACACATAATACATGACTATAAAATCTTTGTTGTTGTTAGATACCATTGAGTCAGTTCTTTTTCAGTGACCCTATGAACAACAGAATGAAACACTGTCCATTCCTATGCCATCCTCACAGCTGTTGTTATTTTTGAGACCATTGTTCTTGCTGCTTTGTCAATCCATCTTGTTGGGGCTGTTCCTTTTTTTTTTTCTGAACTTACACTTTTCTAAGCATGATGTTTTTCTCCAGAGACTGGTCCCTCCTGACAAAATGTCAAAGTACCAGAGAAGTCTCGTTAACCTCACTTCTAAGAAACAATTTGCTTGTGCTTCTTCTAAGACAGACAACATGTTAGTGAATTAATACACAAACTTCAACTGTAAGCAATTTCCAATTGTAAGTAGAGAGTTAAAATTTGCATACAGTCTTGGTGTCTGTGCCAAAACAGGGTCAAGCAAAACAGCCCAGAAAAGGGAAGAAGTTATCAGTAGCCATTCTATAAGTAAAGTCCAGAGACATACCAATTTTATAAGGTAGATCAGTTTTGAGATATGGTGAATCAAAACAATGGATACCGAGGAATTGAAAGGAACACGAAATTGTAAAAAGTAATTTATTATGCCGTTGTGACTACCCCAGATGAAGTCATTGAAAGCATTTCATGAAGAATAACCCTGGCATCACTAGTTAAGTTTACATTAAGGGCTGCTTCTGCCCACACAAAAACATAAAGGAAAGAAGGGTTTCCATTTTCTTAGCCTCAGCTATTTATGCTGTCCTTCCATAAGCTGATGCTACCATCATTATCGGAGTCCTGGTGTGGCACTGTGGGTTAATACGTCAGACTATAAAGCCGTTTGAACTGCAAGGTCAGCGGTTCAAGCTCACTAGCTGCTCCTCAGAAACCCTATACAGGGTTGCTATGGGTCAGAATTGACTCGAAGGCACTTAACAACAACCATCATTATCATTACCTTTATATAAGACACCAGTTGCTATGCAAATTAAAATCTCACTGAAGCTATGTATCTTTTACAAATAAACACTTGGCTTTGCATTCATCCATATGGAATATATATATATATATATATATATATACATATATATATATATATACACTTGGGTAAGAAGATCTTCCATGAGGTTTGTGACTTTTTGAATCCTAATTTGGGCATTTAAAGCCTAAAAATCATTTCACAGTGTTTTTAGAATCAGTTGTCTCTCCCTATAATCAGTAATCTCCATTGTCATCATAGTGTTAAGACACTATAGACATTTGATCTCTCAGAGTCTTACCCTTTCCTCTAATAACATTGCCAGTGATCATTTAAGTAATCATGAATTACATAGCATAATTTACTATTTTCCCCAAACAAAGAAGTTATCTGTATGAGGATCAGTCTCCAGGGATCACTTCTTTTACCACAAACAGTAACAATTAGATTTATGCAAAACAACAGAGTACATTTAAAAACAAAGATAAATGAGGTAAGTTTAATGAAAGGACTCATAAAGACATTAGTAAGAGAAACCAACAAAGATGGTGCATATCCCAGCACTAACTGCAGTAGGAAGCCATTACACTTAAGTTCTAAAGAAGCAGAGTTATTGCATTAGCACCTTAGTTTTGAAGCCATTATAAAGGGTTTGAAGAATGTATACTTTCCAATGATTTTATGTTGATTTATTATTTGTTTTTAAGAAAGAAAGAAAGAAAAAGAAAAAAAAGACTTTGCACTGTTGTTTCTTCCTGATATGGAGAACTAATACTTAGAAATCTATAAAATGTTTTTGTAAAAGGAAGCAGACATTTAGTGCTCTACCATGGTTTCTCATGGAGTGCTGTCAAACTATGTTTTATGGTTCTTAATTTCTTGTTTCACACTTTTCTCCTGGTAATTTCCTTTTAGAAATTTTACCCATATTGATTTTCATCTTCCTCTGTGTATTTATGAAAGCAGAGGCCAAAACAATTCTGACTTTATATCTACTTTCTGTTACTTGTAGATATGACTTTATATTATAGTTCTGAAAAAAAGACTTTTCCCAGAATAAACTATACAAGTAAAAATAGTTATATTAAAATGTGATACTATAGTATAACACCATCAAAAGAATGTAAGGTTTGAATCTCTCTACTCTGTTAATATGAAAACAATTAAGGGATAGTTAATTTAATAGAATGAATTATTATTAATGCTATTTCTTTTATCAGTATAAAATGTTATATTTACATGGCTCAATGAAGTGCTATTATTTGTCTAAAAGTTTCTATTTGAATAGCAGGCTCTATTACACATCAAGAACATCAGACATGAAGAAAGGTGGTTCAAAAGTCAGAGAAGAAAGAAAAGCTCAAAATGATATTATCACAATTTATCACTGATTCAAAGGTCCATAGTTAATCTACCATACTATGTTGTTGTTATTATATGCCATTGAATAGATTCCAACTCATAGAGATTCTGTTATAGGATTTCTGAATTGTGGCTGGTGAGTCTAAACCGCTGACCTTTGTGGTCCAGTGTTTATCCTATAACGCCACACTAGGACTCCACCATACTATATTATCTCCAGGAGAATCATATAATAATACATTACTGTTCATTACTGTTGTACTCTGCTGTACTTAACATATTATTAAAGGAGTTCTACAGGCAGTCCTGGTGTGGTATTGTGGGATAAAACACTGAACATCAAAGTCTTTTTGAACCACAAGGTCAGCAGTTCAAACTCATGAGCAGCTCCTTGGAAACCCTGTACAGGGTTACTATGAGTCAGAACTGATTCAATGACTCTTAACAACAACAGGCAATTTATACTCATAGTGTGGCACTATAGGATCAGCAGTGGATTGAGAAACACCAGGAGTCCACATTACCTGTGTTGTTAGTATAGCTATGTGCTGTGGAGTTGGTTGTGACTCTTAGTGAACCTGCATAGGGTTTCCAAGGAGCTGCTCATGAGTTTGAACTACCGACCTTGTGGTTCAAATCAACCTTACTGTCCAGTGTTTTATCCCACAGCACCATAGCAGGACTGCCTGTAGGAATACTTTAATAAAATCTTAAATACAGCATAACACAACAGTAATGAAGAGTAATGAACCATAAAATGTAGTTTGACAGCATTCCATGAGGGTTTCCAAGGCTTTTTAAAATCTTGATGGGAGCAGAAAGACGGGAGTGACTGGCAAGCTTGAACTCCTTTTTATTATCCATTGTTGTTGTTGTGTGCCATAGAGTCAGTTCCGACCCATAGAGACCCTGTATAGGGTTTCTGAGGAGCAGCTGGTGAGTTTGAACAGCCGACGTTGCCGTTCAAAGTGACTTTGCAGTCCAGCGCATTAACCCATAGCATCACACCAGGACTCCTTTAATAATATTTTAAGTACTACATAGCACAACAGTTATAAAGATTTATGTGATGATTTCCCTGGAGGTAATGTAATACGATGCTGTATATATGTTCTGATATGGTGCTTAGGATTAGCACTGGACTAGGAAACACAAAGTCAGCAGTTCAAACCCACCAGCAGTTCCTTGGAAACCACTCAGGGATGCTTTGAGTCAGAACGGACTTTAGGGCACTTAAGAACAACAACAACAGCATACACTATGAGAACTGGTGGTTTAGTGGCTTGTGACAGACCTAAAAAAAAGTTACAATTTTATTTTAAATTATACTGAATTGTAAATTAATTTGGGAAATCATTTACTTAAAATATATATATTTACCTTCCAAACCATGAACACTGCTGACCTTGTGGTTACCTGTCCAATGCTTATTCCACAGTGCCACCAGAATTTCTCTTAAAGAAGTTTTGTTTTGTTTTTTTCCTCTCTTAAAGAGGCAACTTAATTGCCTCTTTTGTTGCTATTGTTGAGTTCTGTCAAGCCATTTCTGACTAATAGCCACCCTGTTTAGGGCTTCTAAGGAGCATCTAGTGTGTTTGAACTGCTGACCTGTGCTGTGCCAGATTCAAAATTGCCAATACCAGTCCATTTCAGCTCACATATGCCTAATATACAGATGTTTATGCGTTCCATTTCATTTTTGAAAATTTCCAATTTCCTCAGATTTATACTTCATACATTCCATGTTCCAAATATTAATGGATGTTTACAGCTGTTTCTCTTTATTTTGAGTTTGTCCCATCAGCAAATGAAGGTCCCATGGGCTTTTCTCCTACGGGCTCTACCCCATTCGTGTCATCACAGTCAGTTTCACTTTGAGGAGGCCATTCTTCCCCAGTCACATTTTGAGTACCTTCCAACCTGAGTGGCTTATTTTCCGGCACTATGTCAGACACTGTTTCTTTGCTGTTCATAAGGTTTTCAGTGACTAAGTATTCTGAATAGCTCGTCACTCCTGCTTCCTAGTCTGTCTTTGTCTGGAAGCTTATCTGAAACCTGTGCACCATGGGTGACCCTGCTGGTATTTAAAGTATTGGTGGCATAGCTTTCAGAATTACAGCAACTCACAAGCCACCACAGTATGACAAACTAACAGACTATATATAGAGAGAGTCACCAATTATATTATTGAAAAAGCATCTTGGTTTGTATGTTTGATCAATTTCAGATTAAAGAATCAGGTAGAATTCATGTTTCTATCATTGACTTTAGTGGTTGGTGCATAAATTTTGAATAATAGTAATATTAACTGGCCTTCCTTGTAGGCATAGGTATATTATCCTGCTACAGAAATCATGTTACTTCAATATGACCTGGAAATGCTGTTTGTTTGTTTGTTTGTTTATGAGGAGTTTGATACCATTCCTCTTCAACATGTCTTTCCTGGGTTTGCAAACCATAGGATTGCCTGATTCAAATGGCCAGTACCAGGTCATTGAAGTTCACTAATGGATTTCAAGAGCAAAGATGTCAGTTTGAGCACTAAAGTGCACCTAACTCAAGACATAGTATTTTCAATAGCCTTATACGCATTGTGAAAGTTGGACAATGAATAAGGAAACCCATAGGAGAATTGATGTATTTGAGTGATAGTGTTGGAGAAGTATATTAAAGGTACTATGGACTTCTAGAAGAAAAAACAAATCTGTGTTGAAAACAATACAATCATAATGCTCCTCAGAAACTTACCAGACTTTGTCTCTCATGCTTTGGACATATATCAAGAGGGACCATTCTCTGGAGAAAGACATCATGCTTGGTAAAGTGGAGGGTCAGCGAAAAAGAGTAAGACCCCAAATGAAATGGGTTGTCACAGTGGCAGCAGTAGTTGTAAGGATGACACAGAATTGAGCGGTACTTAGTAATGCTGCACATAGGGTTACTATGGGTCAGAACTGACTCAATGGAATCTAACAACAACAACAATGTCTAGGATATAAATTTTCATGCATTCTATTTCATTTTTGACAATTTCAAATGTCCCTAGATTCATATTTCATACATGACTTGCTCTAACTCCTGATAAACACAGGACTGTTAACTACAAGTTTGGCAGTTCAAACCCACCAGCTGCTCCTTGGAAATCCTATACAGGGTTGCTATGAGTTGAAACTGGTTTGACGGCACTTTACAGCAACAACAAATGTTCTGATTACAAATGACATTTGCAGCTGTTCTTTTTTTTAATTTTA